AAAAAAACAAGAATCTGCACGTAGAGCAGAGGGGTAGTAGACAGGCTAACCATGATTCAAACTTTAGAGTGTGTACTTGTGCGCATTTATTTTTAGAAGGCCAACAAAAAGAAAAATCTTCATAATATTCGAGTTTTCACAAACAGCAAACAAATCTGAATACTTTTGCTACGAACAAAAAAAAAAAAAGAAAAAAAAACTCACGAAGCTTTGGAGAAGAAGGGTAGCCAAGATTCTTGAGTGCGTGTTTGTGCGTGTTTCCGCTTTTCCTTCTTTTCTGGATTTTCAGAGTAAACAGAGGTCTGATATATGCAGGAGCAGGACGACGATACCTGCAGTAGTTTGAATTTTATATAACATAAAAGGTATGAGAGAGAATAAAAGTAGATAGTTAATAATATTTTAATAATATATATTTGGCAATTTTCTCTTCATATGTCTCTTCAACTTCTCTTGTTTATTTATTGCCCAATTTTTTACTTTATTCGGCTTCTTGTTGTTATTGATGGGCTGGGGTTGAGGGTATAATTGTCAATTACATAATACTAGGTTTTATTGTGATAGGACAATGGGTAGATTTTTAGGGAATATATATAGGTAATAATAATAAGGCAAAACGAAACATTAATTTTGATGATTTTAAAAATTATATTTCAGAATTTTAGTAATGGTGTATCTCTTCTCTTCATAAATATTTACCCCTTTAATATAGGTACACAATTTTTATTGTTTTAAAATCATAAAGGTAAAAATTGGTCGGGTCTTGACTCAGACCGAAGTAATGCACAAATGGATTTGGTCAATCAGGTTTAGATCGGGTCCTTCGGAACTAAATAGTCGACACTGTTTGCTTTGAATGGCCTGCTCAGATTGGGTCAACCCGAGTCTCGAATCGACTTGTTGATCTTGTCCACATCTATAAACGATGGTTAGAGACGTTAAATTGTGGCTATGCATGGAGCATTCTGATGGGTATGTATTAGTCCAACTCAGTCGAATCTCGGCTCATGATGGCTCGGGCTCTACCAGCTCCGTCGAGTTTAAGCCATGTCGGTTTGCCTGGTAGTTTAATAAGGCCAACTCAAATTTATCGTAAAGTTACAATTATTAAATTAATTAATTAATAATTACAATATTCACTATCCACATTTTCTTATTAATTATAAATAACCTGAATAAGTCATTTGTGTATATATAGATGTATATAATAATATGATTATTTTTATTTTCAATACATTAATACTGGATTTAGCAAATGATAGGCCTTGGCACATGGGTCAATTTTTAGGGAAAGTGCAACAATAAGGCAAAGAGATTTTTATTGAGAAAAGTTACAGCATTTACCAGATTATCAATAAATAAGGAAAATTTTGAAAGAGAGAATATAAATAAACTTGTGGCTCAATATGCAGCACATTATAAACAACAACAACAACAACAACAATAATAATAATAATAATAATAATAATAATAATAATAATAATAATAATAATAATAATAATAATAATAATAATAAAAAATTGAAATTTTATTTTATATATATTTTGTAAAGAAACTCAATGCCAACCAAACAGGGCGTACAAAAGCTCTCTGCACAGTATTGTCGATATGTCAATTAATATTTTTTGTCTATTGCCTCATTGCTTGTCCTCCAATCCAAACCCTGATTTTTTTATTTAAATCAAAAATAAATAAAAAATAACTGAAAAAGAGTCGACCAAAATCAAACAGTTGTATTCTCGTAATACGTTTTTAATATAAAACGTATTACAGTAATACGTTTTGTAATGAATTAAAATTATAAACGTAATTAAGTTAATTAAATTAATATAAAACGTGATTAAATAAATTAAATCAAATTAAAACATATTTTAAGAATACGTTTATCAGTAAACGTATTTTCGAAATACGTTTTACCAACTAAAACGTATTATCAAAATACATTTATAAATAAAATAAATTTTATATATTATAAATATATATAAAAAAATTATAAATTTATTATCTACCAATTTTTTTTAACAAAATACGTTTTCTCAAAAAAAATAAAATTAAAACGTATTTTGAAAATACGTTTTACTGTGCAGAAACAGTAACTTTACAAGAAAAATGAAAGAAAACACACTTGTTTGTCGAAATTGATTCCACAATCAAATATTCAACAACCAAAATTCATTCAAAATATATAAATTCCACAAACAAAATTGAACCACAATAATTTATTCAAAATATCAATATGTCTGAATTTAATTACACAAAATTCAAGAAAAAAGCAAAAATGCCCATAAATTTCCTTAATAGTTGCTAGGAGTGAATTGATCCGGAGGTTTGCGCTGTCGGGAGCCCATCCGACGCTGGTATGTTTGTAAAGAAGACGATGTTGTGCGTGTGGCACATTTTTCTTCTTCATCTGAATAATTGTTATTTAAGAAAATCATAAATTCTCCTTGACAATAAATAAATAATACTTAAAAAATCATATTGAAGTTAAATAAAAAATTATGACCTTGTTCGTCTTCCTGAGGCGCGATGTTGGTAGCGGGTTCGCGGGCATGGCGTCTTCTACGTCCACCAATATTGGCAGCGGGTTGATGCCTCGCCTGGTGCGACTGTGTCGTTTGGGGTCGGACGTAGCTCTCCTGAGATAGAACTTGACTCGACGACGACCCTTGCGTGACCCCTTGTCCTCCGACAGTCAGTCCACTGTAGAGCATGTTTTGGGACTGGACGATTATGGTCTGCTGCTCTGGAGTGAGGCTACTAACGTCAAGACCTGATAACAAGTTATAGACCCCCTCCATGGCATGAGTCTGAAAATTAAATTTAAAATAGTTAGTATTAAACACACACAAAAAAAATATCATAACAATAAAAAAAACCGCAAATTATGTACACTTACACTGCACATCCCCTGCTCGGCAAGTGGCTGATAGCCTTCATCTTGTTGGACCGCCGGGTAGTTGGAAGGGTTACTGATTAGTCTCACAGTCCTCTCGTGAAACCAATCAAGGTAACTCGCCTCAGGCTCAATGAATGACTCCACAGGGTAATATGGGAAGATATTTTGGGCTCTTTGTTCGACCCAAACATTCCCAAGCGGTCCATGAATGGCGACTCAATCAAAGAATCTTTACATAGACAAAACATTCCCTGTCAGCCGCGCCTGCTGCCCGCGAGTTTTCGAGCTCGCGCCCGCGAAACAGCCGTAACTCGTGAGTTCCAGGAGCTGCGAACAGTGCCCGCGAGTCCACCAGTCACGCCCACGGAATTGCTGCCTAGCTCGCGAGTTCAACTCTTGCGCCGCGAACAACACCTAGGACGCGAGTGCCCAGCGCCCAAGCCACACTCGCGAGCTTCCTCCAGCCCGCGAAATTCCACCTTTTGCTTGCGAGTTCCCACTATCATGCGAGTTTTTCTTCATTAAATGTGTGTGTTTTAGTGCGTGTTTGTGGTGTAGCTATAAATAGACATTATGCATTGTACTTTAGAGGATTTCTCATTTGCTAAATTAGTTCTTTGAATAGATATTTGATTTTCTAAAAAAATGCTCTCTTCTCTCTCTATTTTTCTTTCTCTCTCTAAGGGATCCAAGACCTTATTTTTATTGTAATATTTATCCATCAAGATTACAACTTTTCGGCTTATTTCTTCTCGTGGATGCATTAGAGACTTTGAGACTTTGTTTAAGATCCATGATTTCGTAAGTCTTGCTTGTCTTTACTTATTGGATTTATTCTAGGGTTAGATAAGCACGTCCATGAGTCGATTATGCTATCATCCTCGTAGGCTAGATATTATGTGATATTGTTATTGATTGCGTGAGCGAGAATTGATTGAGAGATCGATTGATTGATCACGAGTGACGATTGCTTGATTGCATATTCTCGAACCTATGAGTGTATTCCTTCCATCTCGGGTCTAGGGGTACCTTGTTATTTTTCTCTTTATTTTCCTTTTTCTTGCAAATTGAGGTGTTGCTTGCGATAAAGTTTGAATCTTGCTTTCATCTTAGCTTAAATTGCATTCTTTAGCATCAATCCAAACCCCAAATTGCGAGTAGAGTGTTTAAGGTTTTTATTTTCTTTTCTTGTGTGAGTCAATCGTTGTTTGAATTCGTGTTCGAAT